TGAAAGTTGAAGGTTTAGTGTTAACGCTGGAGTTATTTTTCAACTGCTGGTTCATAAAGAATTGATGGATTTTAGGTTTGATCACAAACTGATTTCGCTCAGAGAATCTCTGAAAACCGGAGAGTACTGGACAGCTGTCCCATCCTAGCATGGAAATCTTTGGCAGTACACGCTCATCATCCCTCCAGAGATCGAACCCATGACATTCAGGTTACTAGGCGAACTCATTGACCATTTAGCCATTGGGACGAATTCCATTGGCCGCTGTATGAATTCTGACTTCTGTTAATTCACGATATATACTGTACAAACATTGAGCAATGTCATCGGTTAGTATTGATCCTGACACCCAAACTGGTGAACCCTGCTGATCATGCTCCTTAGTAGAACTTTAAGCAACATCTTCCTGTAGTAGTTAGTCATTAGTGAGCACTAGATTTATTTTCAAGTGTTGGTTCGCAGAGCCACTGGATTCCATCCCGAAGACTGAAGGGTCAACAAGCTCAATAAATACAAGAATCGGGTAACCTTTCAGAATATTCTAGTTACTAAAATCAAAAACAGAAAATCAAGTCTGTCAGGAGATATCAAAAGAGAGTGAAATGCCAAACTAAAATAGAAACCATTTGGATGTTACTAGGATAGACAATGTAAGAACACTAGTCGCGATAGAAAGAATCCGATGTACTTTATTCGGTTGAAATTCTCCATAGGAATAAGCAAAAGCCTTTATTGAGAGTAGCGATGAACAAAACGTAACTCATAACGAAATACTTTCCTTAGACCTCACTATATGTGTATATTAGGAATAACCAGTGTTCATTTTCAAAATAAGACTGTTGAGTGTTAGAAGTTGATATGCAGAAAGTTTTTATAATATTAACTCTTAGGGAAATGCATTTTCGCCTTATGATTTAAAATTGTGTCATTCTGAGACTTTCCTACTAAGCTATTCAAACCATAATTGACTTACTGTAGAACTGAATAATCTATGTAGGTTGATTAGTCGATAGTAAATGGTGTAGGTGGATATTTTAGCTCGCTGATCAAAATTTATTGTTCAGATAAATGTGTAGTATAGTCAGTAATCTTGGTGACACAATATTTCTGCATATATAGTATTAAATTATAGTCTACTAGATCGGTAGACTCTGGTCAAAAGTAAACATACTAGCTGTCACCTAGTGACTAATTCACATAAAATGAATTGTATCAGCTGAAAAAATCACTATCTCAAACAGTCTAGTAATTCAAGGGTAATAAAAAGTTCGCTTAAAAGGGAACTACCATGAAATGTTACTACATTGATTCTACGATTTAATTACATCTACACAACTGTGACTACAAGTTTGAATTCTTAGAGAGACTGTATTTAGATGATCTGGTAGTCAGAAAATAAGAGGATACGACCAAACTGCATGAATCAACAAGTGTTAAAATTTTGGAGATTTGGTGCACGGTAAGAACAAAATGTTACTTCTCGTCTTAGTTTCAAAAACAGAAAATCTCAACAAACAAAGAATAAGACATTCAAATCAAAAAAAAATTTCCAAACTGGCGAAATTTTCCGGTCCAGTTAACGAATTCAAGGTAGTTGAAGAACTGACGCGATTAAGAGAATCGCTGTAAAGCAGGAAATATCAGACAAACGCATTATCCTAGTTTGGGACACTTGCATCACACCCTGAAGGATGGAATTCAGGACCTTCAGAGTACGAGGTGTATCCGTCTATTATTATGCTACTCGGACGAAATTCAACTGGCCATGTAGTCAAAATTTTTCCATTTCGCAACACAAGAAATTTATACTAACTCCCTAAATGGAATGACAATCAAAAAATGGAAAGTCTACTGACTACCTGGAAATGAAATGAACGTAGACAATTAATTAATGATCATCTGTCATTATAAAGCAAAATGATTCTGACAATTGATTCAGATGAAAGAATGAATCAACTAGAACACGAATGAATCCTCAAAAGCTTGAATTCAAACAAAGAGGCTATAAAAGTGATAGATATCAAATCGATCAAAGTATTCTGAAAGCAGTATGTGTATATTTTTATTCCCTAATATTTTGTTATTGGATATACGGAACAATTGTTTTTTTGAAAAATGGTCCAGTAACAAAAAATAGAAGTTAAATAAAGCAAGAAGAACAGTTTTTGCATACAATGCTAATAATAATAATAAACACTTTATCCCAAACAATAATAATCATACACAATGGAAACTTTCGGCGTTACGTAGTCATTTAATTCAATATTAGATTTTCCCGTCGATTGATTGGACCAAAGTGGATATATTGATTGATTTTTGTTTAAAAATGATTTCTATGCAGGTAGGTAGAAATTGTTTCTGTAGGTATACTTAATAATGTGTCTAGCCCGTAAACAGCTGATGAGGAGCCAACGAAATAAATGATGGTACCATTTTATTCTGCAAAAACTGTTCATCTTGCTTTATTCAAATTCATTAGAGGGAATAAATGTAGGAAGATCAAAGTTAGCAAGAATTCAGATTTGAAACAATATAAAATATACTAACGTAGTTAACACTTTAATTTACCAACACACCACAGAATGTTTAAACGTTCCACTGTCCCCCTGAATTCCCACATATTGAAAGTTGTAGTGTTTACTAACGCTGTCACTTGATGTTGAAAAAAATCTTTCTTCTTTGTTCTGTATGGATAAAATTAACAACTCTTTACTTTAGTTCTTCTTATTAGAAGCAACCATAGAAGAAATATCCTTATAAGGGTCATTTCATTCCTAGTAATAAATAAATGCCCAGAAATTAAATCACATGTCTCTAAATTGCACAGTCCATAAAGAGAAGCCATCATGGAGTTCTGTGAAGACCAAAATTATTCAGGTCATAATATATGATGTATTGATTATTATAAATGAGATCAGTTCATTTTACTGGCTAGTGTGATACATTATACATTGGTGAATGAAACTGTCTGAGTGGATTTATCGAATAACGTGTTACTTATGAAAAATTAGTTGAAGGAATCTTTCAATAGGTATTGCACTGTTTTGTATGAAAAATGTTTGAAGCAACAAAAATCTAATCCTCTTCTTAATTACAGATGGATAGTTTTGGAAGTGTGCTTAATAGCCTAATAAACTGAAAAGGTACTGAGCAGTGTTAAATGCCTCTAGCAGTCGAAGTCTTATCTTAAAAAGCTTCGAACTCATAGGAATTTCAATCTTAGTTTTTACAGGTGTGAGTTTTTGTACTAATCTCTGCTCAGATTTCTGTGTTTAGACTAATGAAAGATTTCATTTTAAGGCCAATAATGCTTAAAATAAAATTCTTCTAAAGTTTCTCCTCTACTGTGAGTAGGTCAGTCGAAATGCATAATCCAATGGAAACTAGTGAAGTGATGTTTTTATTTTTGGCTGAAAGTAGGCAACTATCTCAACAGTATTTTAGATTCAGTCATAATCATTTTGATGAGAATTTCCCACATGCCTTTTGATTTGTAATCTTTACATTCTTTCACTATCAAGGTGACTTTTAAATACAATTATATCTGAACACTTTGTTTCTCTATGTTGGTCAGTGGTGGAACGCTCGCCAACCAATCAGATGGTCCGGGGTTCGATTCCCGGCCGAAATACTTCTGGAACTCGCTAAGCCAGTAGTAAGGCCGTATAAGAGGGAATGTTGGGCATGTGTTTAGGAACGCCACCTAGTAGAAATAAAACCACCGCTATCGAAACTTTAAAGCTCCAGCTTAAAGCCCTTAATGTCTCATTCGGAATGTAAAGGAATAAAATTTAAATCCTAGAAAAAATGAACTTTGTTTCCACGGTTTAGTTTAAAAGCTTCTGATGAATATTTTCACTGAATGTGTCAGAGATGAATAATAATGAAAAGCAACAAGAATCATCGTTCTTCTTTATTTTTTATAGATGACAGTCAACTGATGCACTTTATTTTGATTGGACACTGGTAACTAGTGCTATATATCTACTCCTTTCTTTGGTGCAGACTGAATTCTATCAGTCAAGTTTGCTTGTGGCCACCATTCTAGGTAGCTCGCCATCACGGTGCGCATTGATTTGATGATATTAGATGGTTGGAGGCAATCGGCAGGAATCCTTGGACCAAGGTTTTGTGCTAGTCGGCACTCATAAGTCAACAAGGCGTATCTGCAGCCTTGATAGAATTCAGTCTACACCAGAGAAATGACTATACACATCACACTAGTTACTAGTGTCCAATCAAAGTATCCTACAGGAGGTCAATCGCCAGCCCAAACAGCTCAGTAGTAACGTCTCTGACTGCAGTGCTCACTGGGTTATGCGGGTTTAAATCTCAAAAGGAACATGAGTTCCTCCAAGGTTACAGATCCATCTTGCTGACTAATGAGTGTCAACTAGCACGAAATCTAGGTCCAAGGCTTCCTGTGGCCGATTGCCTTCAACCATCTACTGTCAACAAATCAATGATGCACTTTATTCTTGAAAACTTTCTGATGTGCTTTCATATACAATCAACTCCACGAGAATTGACGATCATAGAAGGAATTTTATAGATTTATCTCATACTAATCTGATAAGAACATATGTGATGTTTACATCTGAGATTTTACGTGCACATTCCGGAGAAATAACTTAAAATGACTAAAGTTTTGACTTGTGAAGCTTACTGTCTAACTACGATTTTACCGTAAACAATGCAGCTATGAATAAATTTTATTAAAACTTTATCTCTTTTTAGCTAACATTTGGTGATACTGATAACATTCCACACCTCTTTTTTGTTGTTGTTGTTGTTCTATACACATGTTTATTCAGTCATAGTAGGTTATTTTTCCCTCTGCACATGAATAAAACATCATGATACTTTTTTATACTCTGTAAAGAAGGAGAATTAAGCTACAAGCCGATATTTGCTCCATAAATAATAATCTTATCATTTATCATTTACTGTCTGTTTTTATGTTCACCGTATGTTGAAGACACAGACGGAGTAAGGAGAGGCATAAACATAATCACGAGATCTGGTGTAATAATAATAATAATAGTAGTAATAATTGGGATATTAGAACGAATACAAATAATTATTATTATTATAATAATAGAAATAATGAATTACACGGATTATAACTTTATAAGTCAATTGAAAAAAAATAATAAAAAGTAGAACAATAAATGCAAGTGACTGAATGAATAGTAGTCGAAATTGGGAATAATAGTAATAATAATAATAGTGCACATTATGTATGACAATATAAGCACATTTTTGTCTGATATTTCCCCCTTGTATGTATACATTAATGTATTATGTATAAATATAAACAAGCCAAAAAGGGGGGAAGGAAATGCCAGAACATGTCCAAAATAGACTGACAATCAAGGGAAGATTTCTTTCTGGGGGGGCATTCTTTTCTGAGAGAGAGAAAAAAAGCAGAAAGACACCTAATAATAATATAAAATATCTTTCTTTTAAAGCTTATTTTTCAAATGGTTTCATCTGACTGGAAGGCAATGGAGTTAAAACATTAGCTTTAATCATAAATTTTTCCACTTTGTCAATACATGCATCTTGATAGTCATGAATCCAGCTATTCAAAAAAAGAAAAAAAGAAAAGAATACAAAAAGATAAATAAATAAAACATTGTGATCTGATTTAAATATTATAATGATGAAGAATATCAACAACAATGACGACAACAACTATCAAATAAAGTTAAATGATCTGTAAAAAAGCATAGCTGAACGATAAAATTATCTACAGCTTTCGGAGTGATGGTCAGCTGGTATTGCAAGCTGAAATCTTCTGATGAAATATCACAGTACGACCACGTTTTTGGACAAATAGTAAGAAGTCATAACCAGAGGGTTTCATGAAGTTAGGCGAGAGAACAGTCACTGGCTAGTGACATTGGCTTGCAGTTGCACTATAATATATATCGCGAACCGTCAGAAGTTGGAATTCATGAGCCATTGGATCGGGTCCCAGTGGCTGAAGTGGCATACAAACCTGCTCACCATATAGTCAGAGGTTCTAGGTTCTAACACTGGTGAGTACATACTGATGAAGAGTCCAGGCTACGACGAAACAGCTTTCGCGTACTTCCAGGCTCTCCAATGGTTCCCTAACTGATGTCAACTCGTAACCAAACCATTCAAATCCCTGTAAAGCAACACTTGATGAATAACCAGCTTATTGTGCTTATTTCATGATAAAATGTTCTAAAGAGACAAACGAACCATAGAAGTGACTAATCTATGCGGGATGACATAACAGTATTCTCAAGGTTGAATACAAGTCTTGTTGACAAGTGATGATGACGAGGATGCTAATTCTTAGCACTCGACACAGTGTATTATTGCTGATGATTCCAGTAAGATTATGACTTGATTAGAAGTTGCATGTCACAGCTCCATTGGTTTGAATCCTGCTGCAATCAGGATGTTTTTCCAACTTCAGTCATCATCCACTTTTCTAAATTGACTGCAAAAGTCCAGATACTTAAGTATCGTATTTTTATCTATCTACATTAAAAGCTTATCTTACAGTCGATTAAAATACTTAAAATCATTGAAGAGACTCACTAAAACATTATGGAGAAAAGAACAAGACGCTCAGTTAAGATATCTTTTCGGTGATTTCATTCTCAAAAGCTGTACTATCGCTTTTCTCTAAAATACGTTCGCGTAGTTACAACCGATGAAAAGATATCATTACTGAGCTTCTTATTCTTTTACTTAAACTATCCTGAAGAGTATTTTCCACAACTTTAAAAGTGCAACGTCTCCTGAACAGTGAATGAAGTCAGTGAGTTTCTGTAAAACTAGACAAAGTAAACGCAAAAGTTAACTTCCTGAAAAACTGCATAATTATTTCAGTTTGTTTCTGTACACATCCTTTTCACACTTCGTTAAAATCTATTTTACATATTGCGCAACTATTTTCTAATTCTATGTACTTCGGTTTGTGAGCCCTATGAGATCTATATTCACATCTTTCTTCGTTACTATGTTGAATTAAATACTAATTGTAACTACATGAATCTATGCACAAAAATGCGATTGTGGAGCTCTTCAGGATAAATTCATAAAATATATATCTTTGCTGGATTTCTTATTCTTTTTTTGTTTAAAATACTTTAGTACTCAGTGATCATCTCGAATAATGTAAACATCTACAACATTATTGTTTGTATGATATATTACAGAGTGCATGGATGCAACATAACATATATACATATATATAATAATAATTTGCTTTATTCCAAAAACAGTACTAATGATACAGCAAGGAATTTTCAGCATTCAGTACAATATTGCATCTAATTTACTCAAAAACGACAAAAAAAATTAAAAATACACATTACATAATAGTAATAAAACGATTGTTACAGCAGCTACATAGCAAAATACTGTATGCCATACGGAGAAAAATATGTATAAAGTACAAAATTGTAGTAATAATAGTAATACCAACTAAAATAAAATAGCAGAGTAATAATTAAACGATAGAAAGTGTGACACCATAAAATACAGAAAGATGAACGATGAAAGGGTCGATTCACTGTGCTAATTACATAGTAACTTGTAAGTTTCACGTCTAACAGAGTCTTCGTCACATAAAGTACGGGCTAAATAGGGTATTGTAGAATTTCTATACTTAGTGGTACGAGCATATAACTTTTTATATTGACTTCTCGTCCTACCTGATGAGATACAAGGGGACAGGTGTGAATAAAGGGGGTGCAGAGGGTCTGACAGTATAGCCTTTGCCCATTTCGTACAGGAATTTATATGCCTCTCGACTATAGTATTAGCGAGCTCATGCAGTGGCAGACCACAAGCTCTACTCACAGCATTTAATACTCTTCGTAATATGATATAATCTTTTTTGAGAAGCCCAGGAAAGATTAATGGAGAGCAATAGAGTACAATAGGTAAAATACAGGAGTTTAAAAATTGCAAAACTAAAGGTTGGTTGATACCTGATTGTCTTAACTTTTTAATGTAGAAGGTAAGACGAAACATTTTCTTAGAGATAGATAAGATATGGGATGACCATGAAAGGTCAGAGGAAAAAACTAATCCAAGGTATTTAATGCTTGATTTGGTTTCAATTTCCGTGCCATCTATGCTACAGGGATCATGCGAGTTAACTAGTTCAAGTAAGTCACGTCGATGCTTGAAAGTAAAGTCAAGTGCCTGACATTTGGAAGGATTTAATATAAGACCATTTGACTTGGACCAGTTGTTGATGTCCAACAGAAAGCTATTAAGTTTGGAGCTGTCAGACTCGGAAGTGATAGGCAGTGATACAGTCAGATCATCTGCATATTTGACAAAGTTAGTTTCGTTTGAATGAGGCAGGTCATGTAGGAAGAAAGAAAAAAGAAAAGGAGAGAGGACAGCACCTTGTGGAACACCGGATTTTGTAAGCGAGGTAGAAGAAGATTTGCCGTTATATACAGTATACTGCATTCTATCAGAAAAATAGGAATGCAACCAACTCTTAGCCCAGGATCCTGTTTGTGTCAACGATAGCTTATTTAACAAAAGGCCCCTAGGTACAGAGTCAAAAGCAGATGTGTAGTCTAAGAAAGCACTACGAACATATTTAGCACCTTTGTCTAAACAAGAGACAACATTGTGATATAAGACAACCGCAGCATCCAAGGTACTTCTACCATGTTTGTATGCAAATTGTTTAGGATCATTAAAAGGTTTCAAAGCGGGTTCAAGACGAAGTAAAAGTAATTTTTCCATCAATTTTAAAAAGGGGGAAGTAATTGCAATAGGCCGAAATTTAATATCAGAACCAGAAGATGGTTTTGGTATAGGGATAATTTTAATGTTTTTCCATGCAAAAGGTAGAACGTTACCGGAAAAAGAAGCATTAAAAATGTTAGTAAGAGGATAACACAAAATATCAGCACAATTCCTGAGGACAATGGCAGGTATGCCGTCAGGACCAAGGCTTTGAGAAGGCTTAAGAGACCGGAGACATTTAAGCACATCAAGGGTATTAAAACCACTAAAGTTATTGTCAATATGATTTGTATCATTTGGAAGGGTATCAACAGAAGAGCGTATGAAAGATTTATTAAGAGTGTCAACATTAAGAGATGGAACAGAAATACATCGCTTACCGTTAGTAATTTCTTTGAAAAGTTTCCATAAATTAGAAGGGGTTTTACATGACAAAAATCTTTGATTATATAAAACATTTAGTCTTTTCATTTCCAGTTTTATCAGAATGTTTAACTTTTTTACACCAGGCTTATCATTAGTTTTGAACAACAGTTCTTTATTTCTACGTAGCTTTTTGAGATATGGCGAAGATAAGCGATCAAATCGAATGAATAATGTTTCTTTAGGACAACATATTTCGAAACAGAATTTAAGATAATCGGTAGTGTTTGTGATTGTTTCATCTAATGTTTGTTCTGTAAATAAGTCCCAGTTAGTGTCTTTCAACATGCATCTGAGCTTGTCTAGGTTGTCTTTTGAGTAGCATCTCCGTTGAACTTTACTGTAGAGGTGAGAGAGGACACCTTTGTGTGATTTGGAATATATTTTAGGCAGTACACGTATGATGCAGTGGTCAGAGTTAAGTAAAGGAGCACGTTTGCGAGGTTCATGTATACCAAAATCATTGATAAATACTAGGTCCAGTGTTTTACCGAGACGGGTGGCAAAGTTAACAATATTGTCATGACCAAGTGATATAAGGAAGGAGCAATCGCTTCCATTGAAGTCGCCAGTTACTATTGATAAAGAGTTCTCTAAGCAAGCTGCAGCAAAAGCGGTGAATTCATCAGCGAACATAGACAAATCCAATATGGTACAGCCAGGAGAGACACAAACATTAGAAATATAAATGAATTTGTATTTTGACAGGTGTTTCGGGCGACATCTCGCAGTGATGCAATCAATGAAGTTATTCGAGAATTTGAAACAAACTTTGTTAGAAATGGACCATTTTGAGTGAATGAAAGCTGCAACACCTCCGCCACATTTTTTCTTGGAACAAACACGGTCTTGTCGGAAAACATTAAAATTGTTTAGAGACACAATATTGTCATCGTATGAGTCATGGAGCCAGGTTTCTTGTGGAGTGACAATACCAGTATTGTGGTAAATTTGGGACGACAACAGGGACTGAAAATCCAGAATTTTATTAGGCAGGGACCGGCAGTTGGTACTTATGATAACTGGAACAGTGGTGTGATGTATGGGTGTAGATTTTAAGGCACGCTGCCAACCTCCATGGTGCTTTTTCTTGGTTTTATTGGAAATATGAAAGTTTTTGGGTTTAAAACGTTTTATAAAATCCCGGGAGTGAATAATACGATTAGAATGCATAATATGATATGTAAACACCAATAAAATACGAGTAAGTAGATGGAAAATGTACATGGAATGTGGTAGGCCAAAATGTTCAAACAGGCCGCCAAGGTCATTCGACGTCACTTTATTCTACGTGTGGATAAATATATATATATATATATATCCAGGAGTTTGTCTGTAAGGATTCGATTTGTTCCAAGTTCGATTACGGATTGATGTCAATTAGAAAGCCATTGAAAACTA